TTCCTCCTTTCCAGCAGGAGCAACCTGTGCCCACTTCTGTGTCTCAGCTAGTGACCTAAGGTAGTGTATCAGGTAGCTACAACAGACATCTAAGGCTTTTAAAGGCACTGCAAAACTACCACTTAAGTGGCCTATTTATCATTCCTCTCCAGTCTGTTTACACAGAATTATTTTTGCACTCTGGCTGCTCAACATAAAAACAGAATGACATTTAAAAAGAATTCCTGTCACTCATTAAGAACCACTGCACGCATACATTTACTGACTTCTGAAGAAAATCTGAACTGACACTGCCTATTGTGTCCTACCAATGTCTTGACCTCTGCCTCCCATTAGTCAGTAAAGGAACTCTATTCCCACGAAGACCACAGGCCTTACAGGAAATTAATTTCAGTCCTCCACATCCCCAATCATGCAAAGTTATCAGATGACCTCCAACACCTACCCACAGCACCATTCCCATTACTTAACATCATGCTGCTACTTTTTGTGCATTATTTGCTGCTGCATTTCAGCTACCTCCCTTCAGCTGTTGTTTACACTCAGCTGCTGAATTTGGTCAAACTGGCAAGCCAATACTACAAGTTTCCTGCCTTACTTCAACCAGAGAGGAAGTGTATGTATCTGATGTGTATGTCCACACATTCATTACTATGAACAGTATCTTTAAAAAAATTAACACTATTTCATGAAAATAACTTTAAGACAAGAAGATTTTCAATTTTAAATCCTTGGTTCAGGCAATGTCCAAATCAATCTTTGCCCAAGTAACAACCAATAGGACAAGAGGTAACGGCCTCAAGCTGCACCAGGGGAGGTTCAGATTGGATATTAGGTAAAACTTCTTCACTGAGAGGGTGATCAGCCTTGGAACAGGCTGTGCAGGACCGTGGTGGAATCACTGTCCCTGGAAGTATTCAGAAACCATGTAGATGAGGAGGCCCTTAGTGACATGGTTTAATTGTGGTCCTGGCAGTCCTGGGGTAATGGTTGGACTTGGTGATCTTAAAGGTCTTTTCCAGCCTAGTTGATTCTGTGATTCTATAATAGTGTCCAATGTGATTGCCACATGATGGTTTTCCACAACTCTCTGACAAGCGAATTCATGACCTTGATCCAGCTCCTAACAGACGGGATGGCATACCACAAATCACCATCACAATTAACATCCTTCCCAGCAATTTCAGCATGCCTTTTCCATATGCAGGCTCCCCAAAGGATCTTCCCTTATTTCTGGTTTGCATATTGCATATAACAGGAGTACAAATCCCAGATAACAGGGCCAGGCCCAATGGCCTCATCGGGGTGAGCAGGAACAATGTACATTACCTATGGGAGGAAACAGATCACTGCAGGATACTGGACATACCTAGTGCAGAGTATTGTCCTTTTAAGTATCTCGTGAACATAACAAGACCAGAACAGACTGAAGTACACAAGCCTAAGAAACTGAACTTTGTTCACTTTATCAGCTCTGAAATGCAGATAGACATTAAAAAAAAAAAAAAAAAAAAAAAAAGAGTCATTTAATTGTAGCATGTCTATAGTGAATCACTGCACTGGCCATAAAGAGGCTTGAAATGATTTGTTCCAAAGTCTTCTGAAGACTGACTTCTAAATCAAGCTCAACAGCACAGCCAAAAATGAAAGAAATGTGAAAAGAGTATTCTGTAAAGATGGTCTGTGACTACTGATAAAAGAGATTCTAAAGTCCTATTTATCAGCCCCACTATTTGAACACAACACAACTTTCCATGCAAGGTGCTTTAGCTTACACACATCAAATTCTGGCTAGCCATTCTGCAGCTCCCATGGAGCAGGATTTTAAGACTGTCTGGATCACTCCCGTGTGTAAAGCTGCCAAAAGGCCTTTACAGCTCTCCAAGAGCCTGAGCTTCTCTTGCATTTGCAGGACCACTGCCAAGAGGACATTTAAGAGATCCATTCCTTATCTATTACAGCCCCACAGAGCCTCCACAGCTATATCTGCCAGAAGCCCCTGCAGAAAGCCTCTCCTATAGCACAGCTACCATAATTTTTGTCAAGGAACACAAAATTTATCCTATTTTGCAGTGACCTAAATAGATTACAGGTTCTAGCAAACACGTAGAAAAAGGAGAAGCAATTCTAAACACTACAATAAGGGTACCTTCAGACAGGACATGAGAAAAAGAGAAATAAAGGCAATAAGACCCTAAGGTTGACCCCAAAACTTGTAGAAGCTCTACAGTTTGAAAAATAAAACTAAAATTTAAAAATTACAGAGGTGTAAATACAATGATGTTTCAAAAAGACATTTCAGTATAAACCAGGATTTAGAAAGTTCTGTGCAGGAGGAAACTTTGTATATAGGCAACAACAAAAAAGGTTCCCTATGAGTGTTTGTCTTTTTTCTTTTTTCAAAAACACAACAGAAACAGTATTTCCCAATGTTCTATTATTTCACACATGAAGTCCATTTTAATTATAAATACATGTATCTCTAAAATCTTGCAAGAACATCAAATCAAGCAACTGGATTTAATTCCCAAAAGAGAGTGCAAAGGAAATCACCAATTAGTTTTACAGCAATTTTCTTTCTCAAGAACAATCTGATAAGTGGTTTAGGGTATTTCTGGTAAAACAACAAGCAGAGGAGAAAAAAAAGAACCAGTCTTTTCATGCCAACAGAAAAAAGGTCAGAGGAAAAATCCAGTTTCTTGAAATCTGAATGGAAATCATGCCAACTATTTTCATTAAAATATAGTAACACTTACTCTCCTAGACTTCGGTCACAAAATGTAAATGCATTTCAGGAAGGAAAAAGAAATCAGTTATAGTAAAGGAAATTACAGTGCAACAAGAATAATATTAGAGGGTTGTATGGTAAATTATACCAGGATTGTCTGGCACCCCACTAACTAATTGATGTTTTCAAAAAACTTTAACAATAATTACAGTACTTCTCATGCTCTGCAGGTAAGCATCTATATCTACATTTACAGAATTAATAAATAACAAATATAGCACAAAGCACTTTTTTTACACTTGTATTTTTAAATACAACAAAGAAAGTAATAAATTCATGGGGTTTATTACATTTTTCAGTCTGTGAAAAGATGTGTGCTCACCACATCTTCCACATGTATTTAATATCAGTATCACTGATAAAAAGGTAAACAAAGAGAAACAACATTCCCAGCAACCATGAAACCAAACTGCTTCTATTATCTCTCTTGAACAAAGACCCAAATAAAATAGGCAGTCTGCTAACACACCCTAAATGAGCAAAGACTCCTTATTGAGAATAGGCAATCAATGGTGAATCCAAAGTAGCCACTATTTCCACTAGGATCACTACTCTTTCATTACACAGAGCTCAAATTTGGAAGTTTTTAGCCAATACACCCCTCAGAGAGTACCAAATGCCAGACAGAACCTAAGAAAGTACTTTCAGACTGTATGGGACTTTGTACACAATGGTCACTATTACAAACTTCACACGGTAACAAACAGCACTTCAGTGTGAAGAGTGTTTAAGATGCTTGCTTATCAGCAAGCACGCAGGATAACAGAATAGTCTGGGTTGGAAGGCATCCTTAAGGACCAACTAGTCCAACCCCCCCATGCCCTAGGCAGGGACATCTTTCACTACATTAGGTGGCTCCAGAACCATCATCTGGCCACTAGTAAGAGCTAGGAGTCACCATAACCTTTATGGGAAGATGAAAGCAAGACCGGAAAAGATAAAGGAAGTCAGAGCTCTACAGACTAAACTATTTCATTGTGATCTCTCTCAGAAAGAGAATCTGAAGAGAGGGAAGGGGTGCATTTATCACTTACATATGGCCCAGCAGCCACACAATGGAAGCTGGCTGGCATTTATTTATATGAAGAGGAAGCACTAGTAATCTGAAACATAAGTATACCCATTATTTAGGATTAGATTATACAAAAGATACTTGCTACCAGATCAGAGTTTGCCAAATAAAAACTACTACTGAACTCTTTAACTCAAACAGCAATTGTAACCAAAACTGACAAAGTATTTGTTAGGTTGCAAAAGTGACCCATTTAGAAAACTGGCATCTTGCAGCAGAGCAGCAAACTTAATTGTCAGTTTTGCAGGTGATAACAAGAGGTGTTTTGGATTTGAAGTTTAGTTGTACATAATCTTTGCACAGTTTGGAATATTATCGTGAGAAGACTGTACTAACAGGATATCCCTGAATCTGCCAAAGTTTTTTGATTCTCAGTTTGAGCAGCATAGACACATTGTCTGTGAGTTCACAGAGAGTGCACCATTTGAAGTATTTTGCAATACTGGTAACAAAAAAAATTATTTTGTAGTAAGTCTCATGTATTTTTAGTGGGAATTGATTTTATTTAAAAAAAACCCTGTCTTTATCACAAACACTCAATATCAGCATCAAACCAAAGGTGGCTGAACAAAAAAATCATTATTAAATAATTTTAATAAATAAAAATTAAAATAACCTTACTTCAAATACTAGCATTACATTAGAAGTAATTAAAATGGGTATTCCGAAGTTAAACCACCTTGTATGCTCACCTCTTTCTGATCAACCTGGAGTGCTGATTTTAAAATATCTCTAAGCTGTGTTAATTGTCTTCTTTCCTCATCTTGTGCTTGTTTGATCTTTAATGAAGGAAAACAGAGGTTAAAAAAATAACATTATGATTTCTTTTCAACATCGTTCTTCCAAACTTGCTACTTAATTGGTTCATTTTTCTGAGAAATGTTCAGCAAGAATGAAAACACAGAGAGAACAGATACTGTAATCAGGTTTTTCCTTTCTGTCTTCAGAAAACTTGATAATGGCTAGGATGTAGCTGCCTTA